CCGGGTCGTCGCGTGGGTACCGGCGAGCGTGGGCTCCCGAGACGGGTCAGGATCCGGGAGGCGCCTCCCGCGCCGCCCCAGGCCGTGCGTGCGCGTCCCCAGCAGCCCGCGTAGGGAGGCGGCCCGCGCCCTGGGGAACCCCGCAGGGCAGCAGCGCCCCAGGATCCTGCCCACCCAGGGGTCGCAGTTCTGAGCCGCGCTAGACCTCAAGCCCGCATCCCGAGGTCCTTTCCTGACCACGCCTCCCCTTCCTGGACCCTCAGCCCTGCTGTCCCGGTACCTGGAGCGCCCTCCTCTGCTCTCCGTCCATCTGGCTGCCCTCCAGGCCCAGCTGCTGACCGTCTCTACCACAGAGCCCACCACCTTGACCACTGCAGTCAGGCCCGAGCCAGCACAGGTCCACGTGGCCCTTGGCCTGAGCCTCACCCTCCCGTCTCTCCTGTACTGCACAGACTCACCTGCGTGGTGTGGACCAACCCCACGATTGCCAGCCTTAGCCCAAGGTCACTGGCCTGAGCAGCTCAGGACTCGGGTGTGCGCCCTGGACGTCCACTGCCTCCCTCACGGGTCCCAGAGAGGTCTGAGGGTTGGAGGAGCCAAGAGTCCAAGGTAGTGGTCCCTTTGGCATTGCAGGTGCTCACGGCAGCCCCCGGGTGACCCTCAAGCACGCACAGGGCTGGCTACAGGCTCCCTCAGTGCACCAACCTCCCCCAAGTCACACCCCTCCACTGCCATGGTCACTGTCTCAGGACAAAACGTGACCCCTCCACTGGTACAGCTCTTAGGCTCTTGTCTTACTGGAGCAACATCTGTCCAGCACCCTCCTGCAGGTGGGCCCATGAGGGTAGGGCTGGGGCTGGCCAGTTAACTTGGGCCCCAGGCCAGTGCAGGCTTCCCCGCCAGGTGAGGTCCGAGGTAGGATGCCAGAGCCCAACCCTTTGGCAAAATCCATACAGCACCTGTGAGAGAGAAGGGGCCGGTGTCCCCTGTGGGTTTTTCTAGAGGACCCTGTCCCCCACTCAGGTCAGGTTGTTGTGAGTTCCCAGACCTGTGGGAGTGCTGGAGAGTATTGTGGGTCTAGCTGGTAACCCCATAAAGAGGGGAGATCTGATTCAGCTGAGAGGGGCTGAGGTTGCCAGGGCCTCCGCAGTGGGCCCCCAGTTCCTGGACTTGGAGTCCCCTTGGAACCCAGCACCCCCGTGAACCCCACTAGCTTGATCTGAAAACCTCGAGTATCCCCTAGCTCAGAGCAGTGATGCCGCTGCTGGAAGGGGTGGAGTGTGTGCCCTGACCCCACTGCCCCTCCCCGGCTCCAAAGTGGGGTCTCGGAGTGGGAAGGGGCCCCGCTGGGTCTGGGAGTACAGGACAGAGCAGGAGGCAGCCTCTTTCCTGGGGTGAGGATTTCCTTAGAGCCTTCACCCCTCCCAGACACGTGTGTGTGTGTGTGTGTGATGGGCTGTTGTCCGAGTCTGTGTGTGTGTGTGCATCCTGCACCAACTGTGAGTCCCGTGCGGGGTCAGAGTCGACCTTCGTTCTCTAGGGGCTGTCCCTTCAGGCTCCATCTGGCCCAAGGAGTGGGTTGGGCAGGGGGCCTGGCATCTCTCTGCTTGCGCAGCAACCAGGGCCTCATGTCCACTCTGGTATTGGGGGCACTGGTACCCCAGACGACCCTGCCTCGTGGACAGGACTCGGGCAGGGTGCTGCCTCCCTCGCCTTACCCCTACCCTGCAGGGGGCATGATCCACCCCGTTTCTTGGCTTGGCAAACTGAGGCTCTGAGGGGTTTGCCCAGCTGTGGAGCCCCACCCTCCTTGCAAAGCCAAATCTGAGACCCAGGAGCCTTTTGCTCTTCTGCCCTGGGCATGGCCCTTGGTGAGTGACCCCAGGCCACCCCCTCCCTGCAAGTCTGAGCCGCACATCACACACCCAGCTGTGTCTCCCGCCGTACAGGACGCCAGTCATTTGTTTTTTCCTGGTTCCTGGAAGGCCGGTCTGGTGGACCTTAAAAATAGTTCTGAGCCCCACAGGCAGGCCCAGCCCAGGTCAGCAACTCCACAGGCAGCAGGCGGCAAGGAGAGGCCTCCAGGAGGGGCTCAGCTGGGGTTGAACCAGGTCCTTACCCTGCTGCCCCACTGACTGAAGAGGGCCAGGCTCTGCCCCTTGGCCTCCCATGGCCCTTCGGGTGCCTGAGGCTCAGGCCAGCATGGTGGGGATGCCGTTTCAAGTTCCTGTCCTCTCAAGGCAGGCGTTTCCCGAGGGGGGATAGGCTGGATCCTGCCGGAGGGCTAACCCCACCCCCAGAAAGGACCTGCCTGCCGCTGCCCTGCAGACAGCCCCACCGGGTCACTCTGTCCTGCTGGCAGGAGAGGCACTGTTGCCATGGTGACTGGAGCTTGGCTGGCCTCCCTGGATTAGGGAGGAAGAAGAGAGTGGACAAAAGGTGGCCTGGGCCCCTCACACTCTGTNTCCTGCACCAACTGTGAGTCCCGTGCGGGGTCAGAGTCGACCTTCGTTCTCTAGGGGCTGTCCCTTCAGGCTCCATCTGGCCCAAGGAGTGGGTTGGGCAGGGGGCCTGGCATCTCTCTGCTTGCGCAGCAACCAGGGCCTCATGTCCACTCTGGTATTGGGGGCACTGGTACCCCAGACGACCCTGCCTCGTGGACAGGACTCGGGCAGGGTGCTGCCTCCCTCGCCTTACCCCTACCCTGCAGGGGGCATGATCCACCCCGTTTCTTGGCTTGGCAAACTGAGGCTCTGAGGGGTTTGCCCAGCTGTGGAGCCCCACCCTCCTTGCAAAGCCAAATCTGAGACCCAGGAGCCTTTTGCTCTTCTGCCCTGGGCATGGCCCTTGGTGAGTGACCCCAGGCCACCCCCTCCCTGCAAGTCTGAGCCGCACATCACACACCCAGCTGTGTCTCCCGCCGTACAGGACGCCAGTCATTTGTTTTTTCCTGGTTCCTGGAAGGCCGGTCTGGTGGACCTTAAAAATAGTTCTGAGCCCCACAGGCAGGCCCAGCCCAGGTCAGCAACTCCACAGGCAGCAGGCGGCAAGGAGAGGCCTCCAGGAGGGGCTCAGCTGGGGTTGAACCAGGTCCTTACCCTGCTGCCCCACTGACTGAAGAGGGCCAGGCTCTGCCCCTTGGCCTCCCATGGCCCTTCGGGTGCCTGAGGCTCAGGCCAGCATGGTGGGGATGCCGTTTCAAGTTCCTGTCCTCTCAAGGCAGGCGTTTCCCGAGGGGGGATAGGCTGGATCCTGCCGGAGGGCTAACCCCACCCCCAGAAAGGACCTGCCTGCCGCTGCCCTGCAGACAGCCCCACCGGGTCACTCTGTCCTGCTGGCAGGAGAGGCACTGTTGCCATGGTGACTGGAGCTTGGCTGGCCTCCCTGGATTAGGGAGGAAGAAGAGAGTGGACAAAAGGTGGCCTGGGCCCCTCACACTCTGTCTCCCATAGTCACACACGTACAGACAGGCCGGACAGTGGAGTGCTGTCTGTGGGAGCTGGGGGACCTGGGTGGCTGAGGGAGCGTGGAGAGGGCTGAGATGAGGGTGGGAGCTGGGAGGGGTGCCAGAGGGCGAGTGGGGGCAGGTGTAGGTCCCCCAGGCATGGCCTGGGTTGAGGGGCATCCAGAGTCAGGGCAGGGTGAGCAAACCTGTGGGATGTGCAGGTGTAGCTGGGAAGGAGCCAATGGAGGAGGCCGTGGTGGTTGGCATGGGGACAGAGACAGGTGCACAGGACAGGCCTGAGGGGGGCTGTGCAGACAGGCAGAACCCCGGGAAATGAAGGGACCTAGGGGCATGGAGAACAGGCCCCCGAGTATGTACACCCCCATTCCCAGGTTATAATACCCAGCTCTATGTGTGTGTTTGTAAGTGTGCGATGGTCTGTGTGTGTACCTGTGTGTTTCCGTGTGGGCTGTGGTACACGTGTGATGCTGTGTGTGTGTGTGCGGCTCTGTGTGCCTCTGAATGTGTACATGTGTGCGTGTCACCCTGAGACCCCTCCAGCCTCCACTCCCATTGCAGGAAGCCCTGGTTCACCTGGGCCTGACGCCTCCTCAGCCCATGTGGCCTGGCTTGACAGCTCCCCAGACAGTGCCCAGCTGGCACAGGCGCCCACCCCTGTCGAGACCCGACACTGGGCTCTGGGCGCTTCTGCACCCAGCCTGCGTGCGTGCAGCATAGGGTCAGCCTCCCGCTGTCCAGCGCCTGCACAGGGCGGCCGCCTGGCTGCGCAGGGAGGGCTTTCCCTCTGGCCTGCACTCGCCTCCGCATAGCCTCTCACCCGCCGGGAGGGGAGCCAGCAGAGTCAGGCCAGGGCTTTGCAATGTTTCCCACAAGCAACCTGGACCCGGGTAGGGCCTGGGCTGGGTGGGGGTGAAGCAGTGGGAGCTGGTGAGCGGTGCTGCGTGAACTCTGCCCTGAACTCTGTCCTGGGACAGAGCCAGGCCCCAGGGGGGGGCAGGGCAGTGGCTGCACTAGGCCTGCTCCTGAGTCACTTTGCTGGGGCCTCACACCTCTGTCTCTCCCTCCCACTCCTTCCCCTGCAGTGTCTTCTCCCCCCTCCCTGGGACCATCCCCCAGCCCAGCGCCCGCTCAGCCACTGACCCCTGTTAAATGCAGCTATGGGGCTCCTGCTGTTGCAGGCACAGGCCCTGGGTTTCATCCATAGGGTCCAGGGGATGAGGGGGTGGGGCTGAGGCCCTCAGGTGGAGGCACCCAGCCCAGGTGGGCCTGGAGGAGGGCTGCCCATGTGTCCTCATGCTTGCACTGAGCCCGGCCCACAGGGGCCTGGGGGACAGAGCTCGCCTTGCAGGAGCCCCACACCCTGAACCAGGAGCAGGGGCAGCCTCTCAGACCCTGGCCAGGGAGAGCAAGGTGGGCCCTGTGGACAGTGCCCAGGCTGGACAGGCCTTTCTCTCCCCTCCCAGCATGCAGGTGAGGATAGGACACGGAGGGGCCCTGGAAGGGGATCCCCGAGGAGCCAGCCAGAAGCTGGGCAGTGCATGAGCTTGCCTCTGATTTGCATGCTGGGCCCCGAGAGCCCTGTGAGCAATGGTTCGCACTTGGGGGCTTCCTGGAGGAGAAGGCCTAGTCCCTGTGGGTCCCCTCCTTTCACGGTTCAGAAACAGAGTGCTGGGTGGGGGAGGGGTATCAGTAGTTTTGAGGAAAGTCCAATGTGGCCCAAAGTTCTGCTCGCAGAGGAAGGATGAGAACTGCCCTGGCCAAGCCTGTCTGCCCTGGGCCAAGCCCAATACCCTGGAGGCAGCACTGGCACCTGAGGCTCCCTGGACCCAGCCTCAGCATGCCCT